GGCCTGGAAGAGGGCAACCGGGACAGAATCCGGCGCCCCGACCGGGACTAGAACCCGGTGTGCTGGTGCCGCAAGGTGGAGGATTAGCCTACTGAGCCGCGGTGCCGGCCGCATAGTTTTTACACAATACACACTTTCCATGAACTTTTGGAAGACCCCTCTTTTTTAAAAAAAAAAAAGATTTTATTTATGTATTTGACAGGTAGAATTACAGACAGTGAGAGGGAGAGACAGAGAGAAAGGTCTTGCATCCACTGATTCACTCCCCCAATGGCCGCAATGGCTGAGGCCAGGCCGATCTGAAGCCAGGAGCTTCTTCCAGGTCTCCCACGTGGGTGCAGAGGCCCAAGCACTTGGGCCATCTTCTACTGCTTTCCAAGGCCATAGCAGACAGCTGGATCGGAAGAGGATCAGTCAGGACTAGAACCAGTGCCCATATGGGATGCCAGCGCTGCAGGTGGAGGATTAACCTACTGCGCCATAGTGCTTTCTCCAGACCCCTCATGTTTTTGTATCCACAAATTCTCAGATACTTCATCCTTTAAGGAATGGAGCTCAATTTCCCCTTACCTTAGTGTGACCTGGAATTTATGACTTGTTTCAAATGACCATGTTTCATGGAGGAACTGATTATGTCCCTTCTAAGACTAGGTCTTTTTTTTTTTTTAAGATTTATTTATTTATTTGAAAGTCAGAGTTAGAGAGGCAAAGGGAGAGGCAGAGAGAGAGAGAGAGAGAGCGGTCTTCCATCCACTGGTTCACTCCCCAGTTGGCCACAATGGTCAGAGCTGCCAGTAGCCAGGAGCCAGGAGCTTCTTCCAGGTCTCCCACACGGGTGCAGGGTCCCAAGGACTTGGTCCATCTTCTACTGCTTTCCATAGCAGAGAGCTGGGTCAGAAGTGTAGCAGCTGGGTCTTGAACCGGCACTGCAGGCAGCAGCTTTACCCGCTATACCACAGCGCTGGCCCCGAGACTAGGTCTTAAAAAGCATTGTTGCTTCCTCCTTGCTCTATCTCCAGTTGCTCAGCTCGGGGAAGCCAGGTACCATGAGATAAGGATGCTCACGAAGTACAGCTGAGAGGCCCAGGTGGTGAGGGCCTGGGACTGCAGCCACAGCTGGTGAGTGAGCAGTCTTAGGGCAGGTCCTCTGGTGCCAGTCAATCTGCAGCCTTGGCTGACATCTTACTTGCAACCTAGAGAGACATCTCAAGCCAGACCTATAGCAAAGACTGTTTTCTGCCTCCTGATTCTCAAAACTTGTGTGAAATACTAGATGGTCCCTGTCTTAAGGTGTGAGGTTTGGGAATAACGTGTTAGACTCAATAGGGAATTAATACCTTGTCATGACTCCTGGGAGTGTCTACCATTGTTTTTTCATTCTGCAGTTTTCAATGGGTATCCTCACTGCTCAAAAAACATCGCAATTCTTTGAGAGCTTTGTATGCCCCAGAAAGTGCTATAGCCTGTAGAGGGGCAGTGTCCCCAGGGTGACTCCTCACTGCTTTGGTGAGAGGGGTGGGGCCCCAGGAGGTGATGTGGCTCCTGCTCTTGGTGGAAAGAGGAAGACCTTCTAGTTCAAGTGTAGTCACTGATAGGGAAATCAGGCATATAAAGAATAATTATATTGCCTGGTGTTGGACCAGTAATTGGTGGTGGAGTCAGAGCCAAATCCAGGTAAGCTGACCCTAAGACACAACAAAGCAGTTGGAAGTGGTCCTTTGACTCCCCACTCAGATCTTGTCACTCTTCTGGCCCCCATATCTCTGAGAGTAAAAGGTCCCCGCTGGGCCTCCGGGGCTCTGCCAATTGAGCTTCCATTGATTCCTGGCCCTCCTCTCCCTTACCAAGGTAGGGCAAGAACCACGTGGACCTCTTGCTCCTCTCAGGCGAGCCAGCCCTCCTCCTTCCTTGGGCTCTTCTGCTTCCAACCATCCATCCGTACGGCTCCCTCCCACCCCCTCTAGGTCTTTGCTGCGATTCTGCCTCCTCGGAGGCGAGGCTTGCACTCCCCACTCCGGGCTGCCCCCTCCCACTCACACATTCCCTTTGCCATGCTTCACTACTTTCCTTGGTTCTCTCCCCCGTTTGGCAGACCGTGTAACTCACCCACACCATGTGTTTACTTATGGGCTCCTCCACCCAGGGCTGCTGGGAGATAAGCTCCCTCGAGGGGAGGTGTGCTGATGGCCTGTGCTGAGCACCCAGGGTGGCGCCTGGTATACAGTCTGCCTTCAATAAATACTGCCATAGCACCGAATGCATCGTTTACTGCACACTTGAAGAAGGCCAGGGGGTCGTCTCACATTTTGCTCATGACTCTTATTTCTCAGGGGTCCTTGATGCTTCTAGCTCCTCTTGATGTCGCAGTTAAAACCAAGCAAACGTTGACCTGTGAGCCAAGACTGGTCCATTGTTTGTTAATTTATACATAAAGTTTTATGGGAACGTAGCCAAACTCACTTGTTGACATAATGTCTATGGCTCCTTTTGCACTACAATTTCATAGTGAATGTTTGTATCAAACATTGAATAGGCTGTAAAGCTTAGCAGTTACTTCACGGCCTTTTTAAAAAGATTTGTTTATTTATTTATTTGAAAGGCAGAGTTACAGAGAGACAGACAGACAGACAGATCTTCCATTTGCTGGTTCACTTCCCAAAGGGCCACAAGTGGCCAGAGCTGGGCCAGGCTGAAGCCAGGAGCCAGAGCTTCTTCCAGGTTTCCCACGTGGGTGCAGGGGTTCAAACACTTGAGCTGTCCTCCATTGTTTCCCCAGGCACATTAGCAGGGAGCTGAATTGGAAGTGGAGCAGCCAAGACTTGAACCAGTGCCCATGTGGGATGCCAGCGACACAGGTGGCGGCTCAGCTGGCTATACCACAGCACCAGCCCCATACATGGCCTTTTATAGAAAGTTTTCTGAAGTCTGATCAAAGCTGTCTTGGTTCAAGCCCTATACCTGTTGCTCACCAGCATGTATCTTTCATCAGGTTATTTAACTTCTGCATTTTTGGCTTTCTTCTATAAAATGGGGATAAAACGAATGCTTGCTATTGTTTTCAGGATTAAATGAGTTCAGATGTATGACATATTTAGATCAACGCCTGACACATAGTAGGTGTTTAAATGTCAGCTTTAAAGGGGAAGATGGCCCAAGTGCTTGGGCCCCTATTACCCACTTGGGAGACCCAGATGAAATTCCTGGCTCCTGGCTTCAGCCTGGCCCAGCCCTGGCCGTTGAGGCCATCTGGGGAGTGAACAAGTAGGTGGAAGATCTCTCTCTCTCTCTCTCTCTCTCTCTCTCTCTCTCTCTGTCTCTCCCTCTCTCTCTGTAACTCTTTCAAATAAATAAATAAATAAATCTATCTTTAAAAAATAGATGTCAGCTTTATCATCACCATCATCATCATCATCTTCTTCTTCTTCCTGGCCCTGGGAAATCTACTTCATCGCTCTAATCTGATGCCTCTTCCTTTTGTTTCTGCCCAAGAGGAGCATGACATCCCATCCCTGCTGTGTCACAAGGACCGGCTGAGATGGAGGCTTGAAAAGCCAGTTGGCACATCGCATAGACCCGCGGTCACCTCACTTTTTCCATCCTCTCCTGCACTCCTCCCAGGACAGCAAGAGGACAGCAGAGGCCACGTTTAAAGTGACCTACATCTGCGACTAGCTGGAGGGCAAATGCTTCCTGTGTGTGCTGGTGGGGCTTTCCTGACACAGAGAAGAGAAAGGCCCCAATCCGGCCTGACGCAGCCCAGCTGCCTGACTTCCCGTGTGCAGTGGGGTCTTCCAGTTACTGTTAGGAGAGGTCGACGGCTGCTGCCCATGCCCCTGGCCAGGCACTGACGGGACAGCTCTGTCCCATCTGCCTGTCCCATCAGTCCTGTAAGGCAAGTGCTATTCTTGTACCCATTTAACTGATAAGACAACAAGTCTTCCAAGTCAGCCAAGATCACGAAACCAATAAGCGATGAACCTGGCAGCTTGAGTCCATACGAACACCTCAACTCCCCAGTGTAAACAAATAAACCGTGC